TATTATCTAGACTTTGTAAAGCTTCTGGTTGCTATTCGCTGCCATTATATGGACGAGCGCAAGCGGGAAATGTCTAAATTCTCTCTTTTGTGTCCATTAAATAATGAAGGGCGACAACACCAGGGTGAGTGAATGACAATCTTCATTTTAGGGTGAACTGTCCCTTTAAAATGCCTTTTAGTTCATTATGTTATCATACAGGAGAAACTCAACAAAATTCGATTATCGTGCAAAAGTTCAGTAATTCAACTAAAAGGTGAAACTAATATATTATATAGACTCATTACATGCAAAGTGAGATATTTCAAGCATTTATTTCTTATTTGTTATAATTTTGATGATTATGGCTTACAGCTTATGAAAACTCCAAAATCAAAATATTGTGAAAAGGTTTTCATATCTGTAAGCCATAATCATCAAAATTATAACAAATAAAGGCTTGAAATATCTCACTTTGCATGTAATGAGACTATTTAATTAGTTTCACCTTTTAAGTTGAATTACTGAACTTCTAATTTTGCGAGTTTCACCTGAAGATAATAGAGACTGACTGAGATTCACTCAAATACAGAGCTAGCATTTGATATAATCATAAGACAAAATCAATTTTATTATGATGTAGTGTGTGTGCTCGCACTTCTCAGCCATCCTGCGGAGTGTTTTGAGCGAGGCGTTCATGTCTTCCTCCGACAGGCCCACCAGCAGACCGTTGTCCTCCACGCCGATCTGATACACGGCCTCGCCGCGGCCCTCCTGAAGCCTCCACTTCATCTGTGTGGCCAAGTGCTCGAAGCGGTGCTGAGTCGGGTTCACCAGCTTCAGCTGATCTCACACACACACAGAGAGACACAAGTTAGCATTACGGTACGAGAGGCTAGTGCTGTATCAAGATTAGCTTTGACTAGCCTAGAGTACCTTATTGCTTTTATAATACGGCCACCACACAATACGAATATTAAAACCAAAAATAGTGCTGGGCGGTTTACCGGTTCATACCGAATACTGGTTTTTATTTGTGTTATGATATGAGTACACTGTGTATGTCGCTTTAACAAGGTTGGGAACGCGGCGTAACACTGTGTGAGAGGGTCTTCCACTGTTTCACCGGTGGCGCTCAGATGTGTGTGTTACTGAGCGTTACAGTGAAGACGGAGAGGTTAGTCTATAACTGATAGCTGTCAAATTATATTAGTGTTTCCCATACATTGGTGCACAATATCATCAACACTGCCCACCGCAAATAGATTTTCCAAAAGGCTTTGACTGTTGAATAAACATGAGAACTGCGCGTTTCAAAGTCAAAACGAGGCGCGGGTATTTCAATATGAATGTATTTCTGAAGAGAACTGACTGTCTTTAGAAAAGTTTCTCTGTTATTTTTAATTGAATATTTCTTTATCTTTCCTGATAATGCAGCATTTATGAGCGTTTGTGTTCAGCCGTTACCGGGGAAACCGCTTTGTGTTCAGTCTCTGAAGCTAGTGTAACGGCTCCGCCCTCTTTTGAAAGGGGGTGGAACTGCAGCTCATTTGCATTTAAAGGGACATACACCTTCATTTTTCTCCTCACACCCCAAAAGAGGAAAATAGGACAAGCTATTAATAAAAGATCTGGAGGAAATTTTGAGCTGAAATTTCACAGACACATTCTGGGCACACCATAGATTTATATTACATCTTGTGAAAAGGGGCGCAATATGTCACCTTTAAACGAACAACAGCTGTAGTTTATAAAAAGCACTGCTAATCTACTGCCGCCCGCTTACGTTACGTGTACAGAAGCGACTCGGAGCATTTACACCTGCTAGATACTGACTGTGCATGAAATACAAAACCTTATTAAACAAACTGTGATGTACAATGCAGAGATGTTGGCTTGCAGAGAGTTTACCTTGTACTCAATGTTTCCCTCTTCAACCTGAAACAAAAGACAGGACAGAGTTGATGCTGAATGCAGGTCAAAGGTCACACAGTTCAGTTTTCCAAAGCACAAAGACTCAGAAGAGAAAAGAGCCGTGAACAAGCTCAACGGCTCATTCAGAGTAGGCTCTTCCTATACACGTCTTGCTGCTTTTATGCGGTGTCATGAATCTAAAATTATGTTTTACATTATTATTATTACATTTTCATGGCAAGTCAGCTTTTCCATTCCAAACAAAAGCCATAATAGACAAAAGTGCAGTGAGCGCACATCACAAGCTCCTTTCAACAGTCCTGTTCAACAAGTCCAGCTAATGCCGACATTAATCATCTGAATGACGACTTTCTAGTGTGACAGAAACTGAATCATATTTTCCCGCCTTTATTTCTCATATTTACAAACAAACACCGCGGTCATCAACGCGACGCCTCTCTCTGTCGTCTTCAATGATAGTTGTTTATTTCTTACCACAGAAATTCCAGACAAACAATCGAAGTGAAAATGAAATGTTAATTCACTTTTATAAGCTATTTGGATAATACAAGACTATATAGAAACGAATGTAAAAATGCCGCTCATTTTGTTTAAATGTAGTATATTTTAAGTGACATGGAATTTTACTGTAAATAACTTTACAGTCTACAAGTAAATATTTAGGGGAAAGCACACCATGATTATATTTCTTTATATTTTACTTAAAACACTCGTTTTTTTACGTTATAAGACCCAGTTTAGTGTTCAGGGTCAAATTAAGTTGTGTTATTATTATTATGACATTTTACAGTAATCCTAATAACCTAATCCTAAGTGATATAACCTCAAATAGTTTGGTATTGACATGATATAATGTAATATACTGTATGTTGCCATGTATACTGTGTGTATGTCATCAACTTTTCATGACGCAACGCTTGCAACAGTCACTGTATTTTTGTATAGAATTTATAACAAAATAACAAACAAACAAACAAGAATTGCCAGTGAAGTCCCAAAACCTTATATATGCACAATAAAACCGTATTTGGAGAAACGAGTAATTAAAGTATAATAGGCGGAAAAGTTAGATCCGCTGTTCGCTTTAAACACACAGATGTTATAGAGTTGGCTGGCTCACCTCTGGAGGAAGATAAGGAGGATTATTGCTGGGTTTCTGATACCGGGCTGAGCGGTTTTTGCACTTTTTGCTGCCATTCTTAGCGGGTTTTCGGCTGAGAGTCCCAGTACTCGCCGCCGACCCGAACAGCTCCGACACCCGCGAGTCCATTCCTGTTCAAACCCCGAGATAAAGCGATACACCCGCGGCTCTGTCCTACGCCATTCGCCGGTTCAGTTTCAGGTCCAGAGAGGAAGAAGCACAAGAGAGCGAGTGAAACATGATCGTATATAAACTCGAGCCGGTAGGGTTCAACCCTCCAACACACTCGCAACAATAACAACTCAACTTCCGGTTTAAGTTTGCGGAAGCGTGTCATGCGCAGAAGAGGGGAATATACTTTCTTATTCGCTTCTGTAACTTACTGAATAAAGTTAGAGTTATCTGAAACTCTGAGATATATGGAATCGAACAGAGTCAAACCGAATGAAATGGAATAGAAAAGAAAAGATCACCAGAAGTGATTCTGAAGAAGGAAGTGATGAATATTCAAATGCTGCAATCGATGTGTAACTAACAAGTGAAACAAAATATTGCACTGCTTTTGCGTCAGCTTTTTATTGTTAATTTTTACCCCCACCCATAGAGTTGTTAAAGTGATCAAACCTTTTCTCCAGGGATAGATTTGGCTTTTAATTCACATAAGACGGAAGATATTTTGATGCAATTTTATTCTGCTTTCTGAAACCGTTTTGTAGGATATTTCGTTTAAAACGGTTGAGTTCAGAAATTGCGTGAATTTTTTTGTTTTGTTTGTTTTCCCCCCAACTTCCCCAGGCAATAAGCCACATATTTGCACCAAAACATCTTTGGGGTTGTTTGGCTTTTATTAAATATCATTAGGCTATAACATATTCCACACATTTTCAAGATGATGAGTACAGTGTCAGTACTCAAATATGATTGGCTCTTTCCAGTTGTCGTCAGTTATCAAGCATCTCAGTCTTTTTAAAATTGTAAACCAATTTTTCTGGTGTTCTTGCATGAGATAAAACATTACTTCACTACAATTTCTTCCTCTCTTAACCCAAAAGCACTCAGAACATGTACAATTTGTAAGTCCTACAAACTTTTTACTTTATTAAATGTTTAGATTTATTTTCATTTAGGCTATTGCCCTCTTTTTATTTTTTTTTTTATTTTTTTATTGATAGATTATCGCTCTTCTGTAATTTCATCCTAAAAGCTTTCAAATGATATACAGTTTGTCAAGATTCGTTTAGCTTTAGTATTAGTAGAATGGCTTTGAGCCCACCTGTGACATGTGACAGACGGCAGTATTTTAGGCGTCTGTCACTTTAAGAGCTGACTCGATATATATCCTGATACACATCCAAATTTCCCAACCGTTTACTTCCACTCGAGACATGTTAACAGGAATACTTTGATTTGGACATATTTCTGTGTGTATTGGTCCCGCACACAGAAATCTACCTGTTATTGTGTGAACACAGTTCAATTTCATGGCATATTGTGCTCTTTTTAAAGTCGTCATGAAACGGAAGTTGAGATAACAAAACCAGTGAAATATCCACTGATCTGAGAACTCTGAGTTCTGCTCATATTTCATCACCATTTTCTAAAGCGAATAAACTGTGATAATGTGAAAAATGTTGAAGGTGTCTGAATACATTTAGGCTTGACTGTAGATAATAATGAGAAGTATTATATTATAAAGTGCACTACTATTGTTTAACCCCGTCAGTGTTGATCTGGTGTGTGTGTGACTCGGGAAGCAGGATTGCATTTTTGGTTTGACTGTATAATAATGAGTTATTACAAAATAATCCTGTAACACTGGCCTGATTGTGAGGTGGCATGTTGATGTGTGTGACTCGGGAGCAGGTTTTCCTAGCGGCAGGAATGTGTGTGTGTGTGTGTGTGTGGACTCTCTCTGATTGGCCGAGTGACTCAGTTCTGCTGAACACTGAGGAATGTGTGTGTGAGAAGAGATTTCTCCTGTACGAGTCTCTGAGTTTCTGAATCTGAAGATGGACACACACCACGGCCTGATGTTCCTCTGCATCTGTGTTGGACTCGGCTGTATCACGACACACACACACACTGCTCTCGTGGAGAAACTGGCAGACCGCAAGATCTGTGCAGACAAACACTGTTCATGTGAGTAAAACACTAATGGAGAAGATATATGTGGGTAACACTTTACATTAGTTAACAAACATGAACTAACCATGAGAAATACATTTGTTAATCATTGCCATCGTCATTTAAAAAAAATGTTCATTGTTAGTTCACAGTGCATTAACTAATGTTAACAATAATTTAATGAAGTATTAGTAAATGTTTACAAAGATTAATAAATGCTGTGCACGTGTGGTTCATTATTAGTTCATGTTAACTAATGTTGGTAACTAACGAACCTTATTGTAAAATGTTACCAAAATGTGTTTATAATTTTGAGTTCAATTTCCTGTCCTCAGCACCCCGTACTTTCACTAAGTGCATGGATATTGAGGAGCTCGCACCCCTGCGGAGTCAGGGCGTGCGAATACTGAACTAAGATGTCATATAACTGACGTCTTGTGACCATTCGTCAACATCCGCCTTTTTAGGGTACCCTTAAACGTCGGTTAGATGACGTTATCGGATCCTAACCCTACCCCAGACCTAAACCTACCCCGTCACCTAACTGACGTTAAAGGTAAAGCGTCGCTGCCACACTGCGTTGACAATGGATACAAAAATTAAGCATAATCTTTTGGCTTCGATATCTCAGAAAAGATGAGTCTTTTCGTAATACTCGTTCCCTCATCTAGAGAGAACCGAGGTTACGTTAGGTAACCGATCCGTTCTCACCTTGTCCTGGGCAAAACTCTTCCAAAATAAAGGTTCAAAAAAGCGTTTTCTCACAGCAATGCCACAGAAGAACCTTCTTTAACAGTTCTGAAATTCAATTGTTGTTATTAATTGTGAAGAATTCATATTTCTGTGAGTGATATAATTGTTGATATTTAGAATTTATATAGGTAACCGAGAACCTTCTGTAAACAGTTCTAAAATTGGTTGAAATTTAATTGTTGATTTTAATTGTGAAGAATTCATATTTCTGTGTGTGATGTAATTTTTGATATCTAGAATTGATAACATATGTACATAACCTATGTAACCCACGTTCCCTGAGAACAGGGAACGAGACAATACGTCGAATGACGCAATGGGGAACGCCTCAGGCGTCATTCGACGTATTGTTGAGTTCCCTTTGAAAGGGAACTTTCATTTTTGACGCTTTTTTCCACATGAACGTGGAAAAACTGATAAGTCGAATTCAATTTTTGGACCTTGAACCGTTTGGTTCCCATTGAAGTCCATTATATGGAGAAAAATCCTGGAATGTTTTCATCAAAAACCTTAATTTCTTTTCGACTGAACAAAAAAACCCCCAAAAAACATGGATATTTTGGGGTGAGTAAATTATCAGCAAAAGTTTTTTTTAACGTGAACTACTCCTTTAAGTTCTGTGGGGTTTGTTCGTATCATTTGTACGCAAAAACTATTTTTGGCGTCTAAATAAAACGAAATAAAACTTCAGATACGCACTTTCATGAGATCGTGTTAGTTCTGACTATGGTCAATAATGGTGGAAATATTAGTTTTATAGCCCAGAATAAAAGGTATTAAACTAGCACTAAGCTAGCCCTGCATGTTTACCTCAGATGTTCTCTCAGAGGCACGAGCTCTTGAGGACTATGTGGCTTCAGACTGCAGATTCATAAACCTGAGGAGAGGCCAGAAGATCTACGTGTTCTCCAAACTCAAGCCCGTCGAGGGAGCCGGGGTCTTCTGGTCTGGAAGTGTGCGTCTCACACACACACCCACTCATCCTCATCTCTCATGTATACCCCGCTGATCTGAGACACATCACTCATGCGGTGTGCGTCCGACTCCGCAGGTTTACGGGGAGCGCTATGTTCACCAGATGGGGGTCGTGGGGTATTTCCCCAGTAACTACATCAACGAGACACGCGTTTTTCAGAAGAACACTGTCGAGATCCCAACGACTGTAAGTATATAATCCACTGAGTCTGACCTTATAAATAAAGTTCACACTTGGCTACTTTTTATTCTGATAATGCTTTATTCTCTCTCTCTGTAGGACATGGACTTCTTCTGCGCCTAAAGACTCTCAGTCGTTTTTACCCCTGAATATTAATATCCACAACAACATTTCAAGGCCCTCCTGCGCTCTATTCAGAGTTGTGAACCTACAGTACACTCCTACTTTTTATAAAGTTAAATAATTATAAATTACTATTTATAAATTTGCTAATTAACCAGTTTTATTGATTGCAATGAAGAGATGATTGGAATACACATTAACATTCACAACCAACATTTGTACAGCAATTCAAATGTTATTTTTAATGTGATTACCAAAAACATTCGTCCTTTTGAGATTGTCCCCATTTGTAAAACCGAACGTTTCTGCAACATTTGATAGAAAACATTTTTGTTTAAAAAAAATCTAAGTCATGATTTACCACAGTGACCAGTAGATGGCGGCAGAGGAACATGATAAGGATTAAAGAGAAGGATATTGAAACATATTTTTATGCTATTCCTACCCAGTAAAATATTTTTCAGCCTGGCATAAGAAAAAAAAAAAGACATTCTTTATAAAAATGTTTTATTCTATTTTAAAAGTTCACTATTTTGGTTATTGAGTGTAATAGACTAGGTTCAATAAACTTCAGCCTGATTTTGTTGATTTGGTCCGAGTGGATTTGAGGAACCTGTGAATGCATTATCTGCTACAACACTATAGATACAGGTAGATCTAAATCTGGATGATTACTTATATCATTGTAATATCGTCATAATTCCCGGCCCTTAAACTGGTTAAAGCATTAGCTACATAACATTATGCAAACTTGGTCATTCAAGGATTTGCTGGTGAAATTAAAGTGGCGAGGACATCAATGGATATTCTGGTTGTTTCAGTGTAGAGACTTTTAAAGTAAGAGTTTCTTTGCGCATTTTATCTAAATATTTTACTTTGCATCTGAAACTAGCAAAAGAATGAAGCATTTTAGTGGACCTTTAATTATCTGTGCTTGAAATAGAGAGTAACGAAGTGATGACGTCACTTGTAGGACAACTCGGAAGCTCCCTCGATCGAAAAACAATGCATTTTCCCCATAGACTTTTGGAAAATCGCAAAAAAAAATAAAAAAAAAATAAATAAAAAAAAGATCTGTGTTCAACAAAGAGTTGAGAACTTACACTTTTTGTCTATCAAGATAATCTTTACAAGTTAATCCAAAATGTATACATTTTAAAGACTAGCCTATATAAAGTTTTTTTTTTAAAAAAACAAGCAGACACAATAAAGTAAAAAAAAAAACACAAGCAGGTTATAACTGTGTGTTCTATGTCATAGATCAAAACGTGAAAATATTTAGAGGCTTTGTTCACCACAGACCTTCATTCAGGCGATTTAGCAAAAACCCATTCAAAAATCCCATAGACTTTAGCATGAGGGAACCGAGAGTGCTAAAATGCTAACTCACTTAAGTTCCGTGTTTTGGCCTACAGAGTGACGTCATAACTTCGGCCCATATTAGACATTCTCTGCTTCGACTATTCACTGTTGTACTATGTAAGTAAATGTTTAATAAAAAAATAAAAAAAATCTCTTCTCCGACTATCGAGGATGATTTGAATGAGTTGTGCTTTTTTTAACATATATATTTAATTAATCAGAAAGTATTTGATTATTTTGAGCAGATTATTAAAAGAGCGATGTGACTAAAATCGCCTGGAATAGGCCCATTGAGTAACAAAATTATTACAATTCCACTTTATAAACTTAAAGTCGGCATTAAAGTGAAGTTGTGCTTGTCTTTTCTCCTCTATTGTGTCGTATATCGAGTGAAGCTTCTGGAACAATAACAGATGTGGGCGGAGCTTGATTGTGTCTGTGGGGAGGTGATTGGATGTTTGGATGTTTGTGGTTTGCTATTGGCTGATCTCATGTGAGTGACAGGTTGCCCCGCCCACATCATCAGAGAAGAGAAGAGATGCTGAAGAGGAACTTATTCTGATTCAAGATTACCAGCAATATCAATTTATAAACACAAATCATATATAATAAACACTGCAATATTTCATAGAAAGTTGTCAATTTTAAATTCATCACTTTAACCCATTAACCTAATGCCATGAAATATCCCAAAATATCCCTTTTAGCTTCACATTCGGGCTACGTCTATTCTTGTGATTCTGAACTCCCACTTGTTCGTTGGCCGATGTCAGCAGTTCCTCTGAACGGCAGTGTTATATTTGGATACTGCAGGGGAGCGGTGTGTGTGTGTGTGAGTGTGTAGGCTATAGGCTAGTAATCTCTGCAATGTGCTCTGTCCATTCTGATGGAGTTTAATAGCAGAAAATTGAAGTTAATTACCTTGAAGCGCATTCTCTCTCTCTCTCTCCCCCCCCCCCCTCTCTCTATAGTGACATCAATGGATATTACCTAATTCAATTTGCAGTCTTGAATGGCGCTTTTGTTTTCCAGTGTCAAGCCTTTCAATTACTGCTGTAGAACCATAACCTTATTTCATGTTTTGAATGTGGGACATCATTTGTTCGTATGAAGGAACAGAGATAAAGATGCTGTGAAAGACCAATAACTACAGTTTTCATGTAGGCCTGGGCAACAATTAATCACGATTAACGATTAATCAAATAATTGTGATGATTATGGCTTACAGCTTATGAAAGCCCCAAATTCAAAATTAGAATATTGTGAAAAGGTTTTCATGTCTGTAATCCATAATCATCCTCACAATTATAACAAATAAAGGCTTGAAATATCTCACTTTGCATGTAATGAGTCTATATAATATATTAGTTTCACCTTTTAAGTTGAATTACTGAAATAAATAAACTTTTGCACCTGTAGTTGTAAAAAAAAAAAAACATATATATTTCTTATATTGTATCCTATAATATGTAAATACCGAAAATATCATTTAAATACTATTATACATTTTAGAATAAGCTATATTAAGGTGTTTAGTAGAGATATATAAATCAAATGTAACACTAGTGTACCTGTGCTTCATTGTTGTTGTTGCATAACCTTTTTTTTCTTTTATTAGCGTTTCATTTTTTTTCTTGTGCAACCAATTTTGCGTGGCGTGGGTTTGATTTTAAAATTGGTGGGGGCGGGGACATCAATATATACATATATTTTAAGTTTTGGTCGAAATGATTGCTAGGGATATATCAGTGTCACTGGATATTGGTAGCGTCCCGACTAAATTCTACTACGCCCTTGCCATTTTGCATGCATGTGAATATAGGTCATGGTTTCCTAAACACTTTTTTCTCACTTTTTCTAACACACATGGTTTTCTAAACACTGAAATAAATGAGGTTTAACATCAGCTGAGGCGTTTGCTTGAGTCTCCTTCTCACACATGTCTCCTGAGACAAAACAATCTGAAACTCGCACCACCGTCTCCTTTAAAGGAGGAGAGATCTCATCAGCATCATTTATTTGCAGTGAGTCGTTTGATTAATATTAAAAAGAGATAACAGCACGAGTATTAGGCTACTGTCACTTTAAAACATATTGCCAATAAACAGTTAATGCTTTTTCTTTCTCAACTGTTTTCCATTCACTTAAATCCCCCTCTGTGGTGAAAATCCAGCTTTTAATGTTGTTTATGTGTGTATATGTGGTGTTTTTAATACGCTTTAACACACACCATGTGTAAGTTCATAAGTGGACAGCATTGCTGAGTATTTCCTCCTTAAAACTGCAGTGAATCAAAGACAGTCTCAAAAACACGGTGTGAAATCGCTGGTGTTTCTGACGTGACAAATGACCAATCAGATCAACGTGTGATCGTCAACCAGTGGATCTCTGAGTGAGTGGAGGTGGGGCTCATTTGCATATTCATAGAACCGCGCATAATAAATGAGGCAAGGGTGTCGAGTTACATTCAAGATATTTTAAGGCACGAAGAAATTATTTTCTAAATAATAATCAGTACATTTATTCCAGTATGTCTATTTAAATCCTATTTCCAAACTCACCACACACAGTAATGGTCAATAACTGTACTTTATTAAAAGCTACTTTGTTTTTTTTCTGAAACAAAGTGCTTGAATTGTGATTGTACAGTCAAAACAATAAAATATGTGAAACGAGCTATTGCTAGCTATTTTAGCCTCGGGTTTTAAAGGGTTAACCATCAGAATTTTCTTAAAAGTTATGTATGACTGAAGGAAATGATCTGAAACTCTCTCGCCATGATATTGTATATTAAACAAAAAATGCATAATGAAGGATTGTGTAAATATCATCATTCAATTATTTTTCTAGTAACAAAAAAAAAAACGTTAGGTTTGTAATGTCAATTTAACACAATTTTGGTCGCACGACACTTTATATTAGTAACTAACAATTAACTATTGCCTCAGTAAACTTCAGCGTAGTTAATAATGTAGTTGTTAAGTTTAGATTAAGGGATGTAGAGTAAGGGTCATGCAGAATAAGGGATTAATATGTGCTTTATAAGTACCAAACAGTCAATATCCTAGTAAACAGACTATGCTAATAAGCAACTAGTTAATGGTGAGAATTGGACCCTAAACTAAAGTGTTTTAATATAATTCCAACACGTCAAAATGTACTTTAAGTTTACCTTGAGATGCCAAGATTCTCGTAACCATTATTATTCTGACTGAATGTAATAAACCCTGTACTTGTGTATGTTAAAATGCCCTGATAAAGTTGTATTGTTCACCTTTCAGGCCTCTAGATGGCGCTGTGTTCAATGGTTTGCATATGACTGTGAAAACAACTCCTAAAAATAACCTAAAGGAGGCTTTTCAGCAGCACTTGGTCCATGGCGTAATACAGTCGTAACAAGACAGAAGTCCACATGCTGGATATATGGTGCAAACGCATCATTTCCTGTAGTTACCAGAGCGTCTCGTATGTGTTTTTGTCGATTTCTCTGGAAGGAGAGCCGTAGCCGGTTCACTTCATGCATCCGAGTTGATTTGCCCAATATCCCATCACAGCACGACGCAACTCTCCTTCAACAGAGGCGATCGGCCAGCATCAGCACCGCAGCGTTTCCATGGATACGGGGTGATGGAGTGACGGCTAGTGTGTGTGTGTGTGTGTGTGGGGACGAGGGCAGCAGCTGTGCTCCTCCAGCCGGTTACAACTGAGGAGATCACGAAGAACATCAATCTCAATCTCATCAGACCCGAGACAGGCGCCGGATGTGAACACACTCTTCCCGGACTCCGTGTGTGAGAGCGGGGAAAACACTATAACGCAGATCCCAGAGTCCAGAGTCGACATCCTCGGATTCACAAGCATGTGTACTGTCTTACCAAATGGGCTCGTGTGTGTGTGTCATGATGAATACCCTGGAAAAACATGTTTTGATAACGTTCCCTGTGTCCTTGTTACACGTTACATGAAGTTACTAACAACAGTAAATTATGCATAATTACACGCAACCCTAAACCAAACCATAACTCTATAGCAGTGGTGGAGGAAGTACTGAATCTCAGTACTTAAGTAAAAGTACAAATAACCAGATAAATATTTACTTTAGTAAAAGTAGAAGTAACACAATGACAACCATACTTAAGTAAAAAGTAAAAAGTACCTGATTTTAAATGTATTTTAAGTATTAAAAGTAAAAGTACTTGCATAACAATTGATTCTCTTAATGACTATTTTCTAATGATTAATAAAACATTTAATTCTAATTCATTCAAACTAATACTCCTATAATGATGTTCAATAATGATGGAAAAAAAATTGTTGTCACCATTTCTGAAACAAGCTTGCAATTAGGCAATATAAACCATATACTAACTTATGTTAATAACTATGTTTGGCAGTAAACGCGATTAATTTATGGTATAATTATGAACCTCTTGGCTTGCCATTATCCTAACCAAACGTATATTACACACGGTGTGTTTCCTATGCACGTAAAAACAAATTTTCGCGTATAAATTGCACGATAAACACACTGCGTGCGAGACGCATTTAGTTGATGTATCTATGGCAACCAAACGTCACTGGTGAGACAAACGTGCAACGAACGGACGGTCAGATTACGTTTTGGCAGGGGAAAAACTGATCAGAAAATGTA